ATTATTCAGTCCTGGAATTCAAGCTGTAAGGGGCAAGCAAAACAACTTGGGACAAGGTTCTCCACTACCCAGCAGTGTAAACAGCCCAKTGCAACAACACGTGGCTGTGTTTTGGAATTTCTCTGCACTGTTTTCATTTATATGTACAATTGCTTATATGCAGGGCAGTGGAGAGACCAGGCACATAAAACTGAGGCTGCAGTGGGTAGATTTGCATGCAGTTTCACAGGTCTCCAGCTGCAGAGAGCACATTTCACACAAAGATGAAAACCCTTCTAGAGACAGGGCACTGGCTGAATTGTGTTTAACTCAGAAATGAAGCTTCCCCTGAAGGACAGTATCAAACTGATTAAAAATAATTAAAAAGAAGATCCATTAGGGAAGGTTGAAAGCACTGAATCCCCTCAGATWGGAAAAAAGATTAAATGAAGACAACAAATGCCTACAAATATTTTAACACTATGTTATAAACTACACGGAGATTAATTTTCCTCCTTAGTCAACAAGACAAYACAAAATAATGGATTGCAGCAGAGACTGATTACAAAATACCAAATCATTCAATTTGCAATTTGTATTTTCAACTGCTGCTGGAAGTTTCCAAGAGGGATGGGTCTTCAGAAATGGGTCTTGGTGCCTGCACCAAGCAAGCTGCTAATGCTGGCTGATCATACATTAAGGAGAGATTTGAGAATAATAACTTCAACTCCTTCTACAAAGCATAGGAAAAGTAATAATGTGACATACCACAAGAGGGGCTTGTCTACTCAAATGGTTCTAAGGACTGACTGCCCATGAGACAAAGCTGCCTGGCATGGGACAAAATAAACCTAGTAAGACTGAGGCAGCACAGGAGATGTGTTTCTACAAACACTTAACACTCCCTTCAATAAAGATCAATTCTTCGCTGAAGAGTCAACAAGGTTGTATTGCACAGATTTTCAYCCTGTCCAATGTAGTTATTTCACATTAAAAATTTGGCTCCTTTTAAGTAACTATCCTACCTTACATAATACGTGTGGAAACGTTTTCCCTAACGTTTTTCTTTCCTATTTCAAAAGAAACCAATCTACTCACAAGTCTTATCTGCTAAGAGAGAGATAGAGATTGGAAAGTGCGTATTGATCTTAGCAATGCCAAGTCCTTCTAGGGAACAAAAGGTTATTGCTTTCCTGTCTCTGATTATCTTTTTGTGAGGATGTGGATCACAGGCTGGGAAACAGTTCTCTATGAGAGAGGAGACAGATTTCACTACACAGGTGAAAAGCCTGCACTGGGAAGCACSAAGAAAGAAGCAGGAAACAGAAGTTAAAATCTGAAGAGCTATTAAGCGGATTAGGAGTCTATGGCTTGTGACAGGTCACACAGCTTTCTAATTTTTAAACATGCAGGTTTAACCTTGCAAACTGTGGCACAGGACAGGCATTGGTTTCATGAAATGACTACTGTATTTTTCAGGGCAACATACTGTCATGTGCTAAGCTCCCCTCCATTCTCACTAAGAAGAATGCAGAGATCTAGGTGTCTTTCAAAAGTTGGGGTGGGTTTTCTTTTTGTTTTGTTTTGGGTTTTTTTTTTTTTTCCAGAAAATAAGAAGATATAATTGAGAAGCACTTATAGAAAAGTTCAAAGCAAGGGAATTGCTCCATCATCTCAACACCTCCAGCCAAGTAATTCAGCCCAGAGCTTTACMTGTTGTTCTGCTGAGTTTTAGGTCAGGCACATATTTTCAGATTTAAGAAGGAAGCGAAGAAAACTCCCTACATCCACATGTATGTCCTTGGAAAACTAATCTCAGTAGATATGAAGGCCCTGATTAGTCATCTGTAAGACCTCATGTTGCACTATGACTGCATGTGGGAACTCTCAACAGCATGATGATCAAGATTTTGTAAAATAAAAAGCAAGATCCTGACCTTTTGAAATTAATGAGAATTTTGCCATTGACCCSAGCAGGACCCCAGATTCAAACCTTGTTATCTACCCTGAATTGCAGAGGAGCTAAGAACTTGACAGTCTGCTTGAACTTTGAATGCTCAGCACTTTTAAATATTAGCCCATTAGCTTACGTTGTTAAGCTTAATGAATTACCTATGAAAATCATCACCTAAAATTTTTCTCTGAAATATTGTCCGATCTGCAGACAAAATTTTCTTACACTCTTTTTAAATCTGTACTTTCAGTGTAAAATGGACAACATACTCTGTATTTCTATTTTAAATAACTGTGCAGATTTACTTCCTTATAAAGCAATTTTAATTTTCATGACCTCATTGTGCTTCCAGGAGATGTTTCAGAGCTGCAAAGAGSATAGCCTCCTACCTCTGCACCCCATGGAGATGCAGCTCCCAATGGGCTGTCTATGAAAAATCCACTCTTCCTCAGCCAAAAATGCAAAGACCAGGGAGTAAAGTTATGTACGAGTCAGACTRCACTAAGGAAACTGTGGCTCACAGAAAGTTTAAGATAGATATTTGTATCCTACCTCACTTTCTTAAATTCTTCCTTCAGAAATTGAAATGTTGCATCATTTCTATTCTTTACTATCTTTACTAGAATGCCCTTGCCATAGACTCTGAATCTTACTGTATAAACCACAATAGATATGGTTGGAAATTACATGAAATTACAATGTGAGTATTTAGAGACTCTTTCTATATATAAATATTAAAGCAATAGCACTTCTCCTAGGCATGCCCTGTAGTAGGTGCCCAAACAACACCAGTTCCCAGCATTGCACAGACCCCTCTGCAGAGGGAAACACCTCACACCTCAGACACCTCCCTTACCAGATGGGAAACACTGATCAGAACTGAATTTTGTCTGCTTTGTCAATATAACACAAAGAGACAAAAGTCATATGGGACAATAGTATTCTTAGGATTATTTCCAGCAGCTTARCCAAGAATGTCTGCCAGCTCAGGTGTTCAGGTATTTACTCAAACTTTGTATTTCATGGTTCTTTAAACATAGGTGAAACTTCTTTATGAACTRAATTTCCTCCTCCTTAATTACTGACCTTTTTTTCTGTAGTGCTAACTCTTATCTTTTGTAGTCTTGTCTCGAAAAAACTAGGGACTGACGATAAAAAAAATTTCTCTTTCCAAAGCAAGCATTCTCACAATACCATAAACTAAAAAACTCGTTATATGCATGCCCTTAAAAATAATGACTATMAATCTGTATTAATTTTAGGTCTGAGTTCACCATACTGTCTCTAAAGAAAAAAAAAAGAACAGCTCAGGATATCAGTGGGAAAAAAAAGCTGGCTGAATGCCAAACAACTAAAACTCAGTTTGCTGCAGGGAYACCATGAAAATCAGACTGTCTGCTGCAGTCATGGTAGAAAATAATTTGGAAGTGAGTATATGATTTTGGCTCCTTTTATTAGATAACTGATAATGATTTAAGCATGATTCATATCCAGTCATGAAAATGACACATGTGCCCAAAGAATGGGAATTGGAAGAGTCTTTCATAGCACATGTCTGGAGAAACTGATGATAACTTGTGRAGAGGTTTCAACAATACTGAATGACATACACAGCCAAAACTATTTTCATGTATTTTTCTGATATCGTTTACTCTCTCCCATTTTCCCCGTAAATAAATCCTCTCAATCACACACAGCATGGAGAAATGCGAGCTAAATGTGGTAAAAAGACAGGTATAGTATATGTAGCCATAGCTGAGCTGTGGAGCAGTTTTGCCCCATTTCTATTCTGACTTTAACTTCTGCTCTTCATTATTTTATTAATTTATACCCTCTTTTCTAGTAATAGCATTTTTTTTTCTCTGAGACCCAGACTGCCCTTGTGGTTTGATCTCTGCCTTTTATCTTAGGCATTAGAAGAAAGCTAGAGTCACTATTCTAATCTAAGCTTAAGATAGAGACAACTTCTAGCTGTTCCACATAGAGACCATCCTTTGCAGATAAGCTAAATCTTCAAAGGGAAATCTTGTAAACTCTAAATCACTGGTGGGTAGAAAGCAGCTTCAGGATCATGTTTAAGAGAGAAGCTGATGTGGACTAACAGCACAAGCTGCCTCAGTCCACATTATCCTTTTGTGTGTTTTGAGCCTTCTCAAATCAAACCGCATCACACATTGTAACACACCCTACCATCTTGGAGAACCAAGCGTCATGACATGCCAGACTTACAAGCTGGTGAGAGTGTGGGTTAGCCTCATACAGGCTGGACTGTGTTGTGTGTGAATGAAAGTCCTGGATCATATCATACTGCTGTAAAAGCTGATGGCCAGAGCCGAACCCAGAAACATGTATACTTATGGTTTACCGGTGAAAGCTAAACCTAATGTTAACTCCTATAATATAARTGTATTGCAATGAATTTCCCAATACTTTAGGGATTAAAAGGCACAAAGGTGCTGAAATATGCAGAATTACAGTACAGCACAAGATGAGACTCCATTTATATTAAAGATACTGTGTTTTGGCTAAACATGCAACCACAATTGATATGAGTATCAGAGCTAACAGCATTAGAATAAATTCTTCAATGATAGACGTCATAATCAGGAGTACTGGCAGAATTTGTGAGGCCTTTCTTATAAAACCTATGAGCTGTTCAATGCAGTGCCTTTTTAACATAAATGCCATGGGTAGGGCACACGGTTGTCTGTCATAAATATTTCTACATCAGTAATCTGGAGATGTATGAGATGTTTCACTCCTGCAGAAAGGGTCTTTCAATGACTTCCTGCTCAACCAAGGTACATTGTAAATCTTCAAATCAATAAGCCATTTACAATCTTTCAAAATTAAAATATCAGTGGAAAAATCAACATTTATATTTTATTTCATTGCACCAGGTAACTTCCCCTCCCCATTTTACCTCCTAGCAAGCTGAGTTAATTCAAGTTCCATGCTAGCAGCCATGCATTCATCTAGAGAACAAGCAAAAAAGCTAAAGCCCCCAAGTTTCAACATAGCTGTGAGCATGAGAAGGACTCTCAGCTTGTCATTTTCGGATACGTACCCAGTACAGCACATCTGTCCAGCCCTCCATGGTGATGCACTGAAACACCGTGAGCATGGCAAAAGCAAAATTGTCAAAGTTGGTAATGCCGTGCTTAGGTCCCTCCCAGCCCGCCTTGCACTCGGTGCCRTTCTGACACTGCCGCCCATGGGCAGACTGGGGAGCACACGGAGAGGGTTCATCTTCCGCAGGTGTATCTTAAAGGAGAGAAGGGGGAAAAAACAGGTGAAGAAAACTATTTGACCCACTTATAAGCAAGTGAAGGATATCTGATTTTAACAAATATATTTTGTACTAAGTCTGACAGATTTCTCAGGAATACATGAGCAACTGCTCACTGTCACACTTTGCTTTTTTATTGTAAAAAATAATAGCCAAGCTGTCAAATTTTATAGTCAAAACTAAGACAGACCTTTTTTTTTCAAAGCATAGCCTCCTGTGAAGAAGAAATCATGCCTTTCAACATGACAGGGAACATTAGATCAAGCCTATCATGTTTCATTAGGCTGCGTGTCATGACCAGCATTTTCCTACCGCAGTCACCTGGCATCTGGGTTAATCTTGGAATTGCAGCACTGACTGGCACTGCTGGAGGAGGCTGAGCCCCTGCAGCAGACAGGCTTCAGTGCTCTGGAGACAGGTTGATGTGGCACTGGGCCACTGCTGAATTACAGCAGAGTGTCTGGAACCCTGCTCTTTTGGCATTTAGATGATGTGTGGCATTTTATCAGTAGCCCAGTGGCACTCAGAAACTAAGTGCTGCTTGATTACCCACCCTTTATTCTGTACAGGTRTTTTCAAAGACATGAGAACCTATACAGCGAACCAAACTAAATGCTTTGGTATGGAAAAAAAGCTACAGAAAACATTCTTACAAGCACAAAAACTTCTGCAACATATTTTTTTTTAAACATACAGATTTCAGATCTTAGTGCTACATTTTTAACAGATGCAGGTATGCATGTATGTGTAGGGGAGTGGGTAATTATGTTTGTTTCTCATCTTATATGGTAAACAATGCAATTTTCAAAAAGTTGTAATCACATTCTGATCACGAAAAAATGACAGAAATAATCATATCAGAATTAGATACTATAACGTTAATGCTTCCAGACAGAATGGAGAAAAATACACCCACTTTAAAGATGCAAACCAGAGTGACKGTTCATTATAATTCTAGCATCATTTCCAGAAAATGAAATCTGCCAATATTATAAAAGCAGAAAATACAGAACTTCTGAAACAATTTTCTGTACAATATTTTCTTACTTATGAGTTGAACTAGGTCCTAGCATTAGCACCCACCACCACATAAGAAAYAGCTACTGCTCAAGATCAATAAATCAAATAAAAATGAACATATGGTTAGATGACTGACAGTGCAATTGAATTATTTTGAATTGTGAATATTTATTTCTTCAAATAATTTGAAAGTTCTTTCCTGATGGATTTGATGCAAAAAGTTTCTTCCCATTAATATAATTTCTTTTCTTTCTGGTTGCACTTCTAACCACAGTCACAGCCTGTGATTAAAAAAATAGCTACTGCTCTGAATTATAAATTCCTTTACAATSATACTGGTTTAAAACAAAGATGCATTTGTGTATGAGATTAATAATAAAATATATAAGTGGTTCATTTCTGTGATGCCATCTCCCRTTAGTTCAGTTTGCAGTGCTGAGACTGTGAAACCCTAAAACTTACCCAAGCAGTGAGYAACACCCACCTGTCTCCCATGCTAGAGGAAGTGCTCTATTACATATGGAAAAAGTCTCCCTCTGGAAATTTTTGCATGTATGTGTGTGTTCCCCTTACCTATCAGTCCCCCTTGCACATGGTAGCAGGTCTTATGCATCTTCCCCATGAATAACTCCAGTCCAATGATGGCATAGATAATAATGACAAACAGCACCAGCAGGGCAATATGCAACAGAGGGACCATGGCCTTGATAATTGAATTTAAAACCACCTGGAGACCTGCAGAGAGAACAGAAGGAAGCACTTATCAGCAAGAGAACAAAATTCAGAGAGGCTATAAATTGCACAGTAGTTTTTCAGTTTTATTTCATCCCCACCACCTGAACTCATTTTCGTGATGATGTAAAGATTACATTAATGCCCCCACCCTGAGGAGGGAATATATTGACTGTTTTTATTCTTGAAAAAGAAGGCCTAAGATGTTCCACACACAGTATTGAGGAGAGTGAAAGCATAGGAAARCCAAAGAACAACCAGACCTGAAGAGGGACAAGAACCATAAGAGGGCAAATGCTGGGGAGCATAGAGCTGTACTACAGAGCATGGGGAGAGGTAGCAAACAGATGCCATGTCCATACTCTGATGCTGGCTTTTCCCACAGATCAAGCCAGTCCCAGGCAGAGCCTGAGCTGCTCAAGAACCCAAACTGAGTTAGAGCTCCCAGCTAACTTAGGATCTCGCTGTGCTCCACATCCACCTCATTTAATTTCAGTCTCAACAGAAGGAGAGTCAACACCAGCAGTGCTGGTTTTGTCCCAAGATTTAGAGATTACCTTTTATAACAGAGATTGCCTAGAAATGGGTATGAGAAATATATTATTATAAGACTGTTAAGATATGAGACTGTTAAAGGTCCTAATCACGAGCAAGCCAAACATTCCTGGAACAGTCCAAGGAAGGTGACTTGTAGTCAAATTGTCTAAATCACTAAGCAGCTGCACCCCTAGATACACTTGACTTGAGATACAGATTCATGTGCTTCCCTCTGCTTCCTTCCGCATTTTGTAAAACCAGAATAATAAAGGCCTCATAAGCCTTTAGTAAGGATTTGCATTTACAAAGATCTTAAAGTCATAGCTGATAGCAATGATAGCAACCATTGTCACTAGCAAGTTATTAATGATGGAAGTACTGAGAGACCTCTAGAACTCTACAGTCTACAAATAGCCAGATCAGAACAATTACAAGCTCATGATTTGGCAATGACTGAGAGCCAGAAGTCATTAATGTCTCCTGCAAATGCTGTCATCTCCTCAGAGAAGTTGGTATTAGCTGTGATTTTCGAAAAATGTGATTCATGAGTTGTAAATGTCTGTTATACATCTGCCAAGAGAGCTTGTGATAACTAATAACTTTTAAAATCTATCATCTAAGATCTTAGACTTTCTTTTTTTCTTCCTTTTTTTTAAACTAATTTTAATACTTTCTAATGAGGATGACACATCTCTTGWCAGGCACTTTCCCTTGTAGGCATTCCACTTGTCAGTTCACAGCTAAGGCTGAGACTGCCTTTGCTCCACAGCCATGATGGAACACAGCAGAAGCAATCCAATGTAGCATCAGCTGCCTGGCCAACAACATCACTCACTGCCTGTTAGCAAATACAAGCTGGATTCTAACATCTCTCAAATGTCAGAACATCTTTTCAGATGCCTACAGGTGGTTCAGATATCTATTATCAGTTATCTATGCAAAGGACATATATCCAAAGGCAGCAACATTCAGCATAAAACATTCTGGCTTTCACAAAGAGATTCTTATATGAACCACATTACTAAGAGGATCAAGACATCCTATATAAGAGTGGGCCACTCTGCTTGCTCAGTTTTCTTGGTGTGCTTTTCTCAAGAAGCAATGTCTCCAGAGAAATAAAAAAAATTGCTGTGCTTACATGAGGCAGTCAACCTTTTCCTCTAATGCCCATGTCATTCAGTCTACTAATTCTAAATATGTACAGAAAATGTAGTGCAGTCAACATCACCATTGTTCTAACTCTTTACATTGGTCAGGAATATTACCTTCCCCAGAAAATTAAAACAATACCTCACCTTCTACCAAACAACATACAACAATACAAGAATGTTAAAAGGCTACAGATGGCTACAAACTTGGAAAAAAAGACACCGCAAACTTTGCAGATTGAAATACTTGTAGGTKCATATAAATCTACACAAAAGCAAATTATTTTAGGAGACTTGTTATTTCAAAACGTAGCCAAGCCTATGAGGTTAAGAGTCCTAATACTAGGTTTTATGTAATTTACCCTTTATTATTACTATTAATTAATTTAATGTTCATTGCACGTTATACCCATTACTCTTGAGAGGGTACTGCAGACAGACAAAAGATGAACAAAAAAGCTCTCTCATTTTAAAAACAGCTTCATTAACACCCATGCCATGAAAGCACTTCAGCCTACCACAGATGTCCAGAGAAGATAGTACCTCCACAAACCAATGCCTTTTGTGCTAACAAAAGTAGTACTTGTGAAACTAAAGATTTGCACCATAAACTTAAGACTATAAGATATTTAGATGGTCAAGGGGAACGTGTACCACCAGAAGATGTACAGGACCTTCAGACAGCTTAATTAGTGAAAAGCTTCTTGAGAATAATAAGCCAACTTTGAAGAGCACATAAAATACTGAATACTGTTAGCATGAATTGATGTGTGTGCTGTGCAGTATCCCTTTAGGGCAGCCTGTTTGTGCATCCAGATGATTCAAATACTTAGCAAACTTAAACACGTTAACATCAAAGTATTCAGAGAGTTTCTGAAAGTTTTTTAAAAAAACCAAAAAAAMMMAAAAAAAAAACCTAATAATGCAGTGACTTTAGAAATATGTCCAGACATAATGAATGCTACTTGTRGAAAGGCAAAAGATCCATGCACGTCACAAGGCTCTCCACATTGTTGTTGAGTTTATTGCTGCAATACAGCTGCTATCTGCAAATTGCTTTGTTCTCAGTCATGCAGTCATTTGCAACACGAAAAGCTGTTGCAAGGAATGGTATGAGGAACCAAGCCCAGACAGTCAGAAAACTCACTGTACTGGCAAAGGGGGAACAGGRAGAGTGGATGAAGAGGGATTAAAGGACTGGGGAAGAGACATGGGTAAGGTGRAACAGAGTCACTTTTCCAACAAAAATATCACACGCTTCAAAACACATCAAATCTGTCTTCTAAAATCTGAGAGGTGCAGATGCATTTCTGATCAGAGTAAATCAAGGAGAGTCACTCCCTTATAAACAATCACAACGATTTTTCTAACCAATGGTGAGAATTCTACACACCTTTGCAGGCTTKTTCTCTGCACTGAGGAAGAAAAGAGAGTTCAGCTTATGATAGAATGATTTCTCTCTCCCAAGTCATGGATACTCTTAATCTKTGCATGATGTAATTCATAGGTATCATCCCACTTGAATGTTCATACTATTGTACATCTTTATCATTTTTTTCTCACTGGTGGAGGTAAGGCTTGCATTCCTAGCAATAGGCTGTGCAGCTGATAATGATAATCAAATCAGAGTGCCTGGTAACCTGACCAGACTGCAGACCTGGCCTCTGGATTTGAAGGAGGCAATGCCAATAACTGCTTTCTACAGCAGAGCCAAGTTTCTGYGGGGCTTTTACAAGAGGCTGGCAATGTCATCACTGGCCAACCATAAGCATAAGGTCTTGAACTTAAGTCCCAAGAATTAAATATAAAAATAAATGGGTTTCAAATATTTGGCATTCCAAATYGGCTTGTTCATGTGCTAGACTCTCTCCAAACATCTGCAAAGGTGCAGCATCTGCCTTGAGGAGCTCACTCCAGGCTGGACACAGAGAACTGCAGAGGGATTAGGGAAAGTGCAACGAAAGGGATTGTTTGCACTTTTCTAGCCCACGCTTTTCTTCTGTTAATAATTGAAGATCTTAAACAATTCCTAGTATTTATTTTAAAAGCACTTCAGTTTACCTTTAAAAAAATCCTCTTGGCAATGTTCTGTTGGCTGACACTGATTCCATAAATGTTTCAGCAAGCAAAACACACTAATGCCATTCCCTGGGCTCACAGAATTTAGCGTTTATTTACACTGATAAAACATTTTAAATATTAATACATGAGAAAAACATTGCTTTTTATACYAGGTCAAGCCCTTTTTAGCCTCTAGAGGACCACATTAACCCAAAACTTTAGAATATAACTGGGAAGAAGAGGGACTAGGGAAGAAAGAAGGAAAAAAGCTTTTACCAAGTAACATTGATCCTTCTCACAGCTATGGGAAATTTACTTTTAGGGCTGCTGCAGGTGTTTTAGGGCTATTATGCTGTGTTTCTGTCTCAGGAAGATGATGAGAGGAGMTGGTTGCTCTCTCATTGATCCAGGCAGTTATAGAACAATGTGCTTTATCTCAGAGCAYGTAAGTGTCTGCACCTAAAGCAATGGGATTACCTACATATCCCCTTGTGTACTTACAAGCTTTTCTGGATTTCAACCAATGTTTAGCAAGATGGCACAAGAAAAAGACCCAGCTGCTAAAATGCACTTGGCATTGTTRGATTGTGGAACATATCCAAAGAAATTAATGGTAGGTTTGCTAATACAGAATTCYTCTCAAGAAAGACATGCCTATAAAAAGTAAGACATTTCTTAGAAGCACCCAACTTGCCTTTTTTCCAAGACTGTGAACTTTTAGACTTGAAAAATCTTCTTTCTGGGACTGATTCTGACACATTTTTTTCACAAAATAGACAGCATTTTTCCTTCATTGCACAGTGGTGTTCATATATTCCCAATTAATTAATGCCCGAGTGCCCAATTACCTCACATTAACCACCCTTTTCCTCTCAAGTTTCCCACCCTTTTTTTCTCTCCCTTTTCCCATCCTTCTTCCTCTCACTTTCATTCCCTTTTTCTCTCTTTTYCACCCTTTCCTCCTTTATTTAAATATTTCAAATGTTCAAAGGGGATTTTCCCCGCAAACCCTTAAAATCAATGGAAAACAGTGATTCACTTGCAATTAAAACCTTAAGATGATGAAATTGGGGGCGTTGCCCTTAACTCAAGCCCATAAAATAGCATCAGAAAGGTTTCCCCCTTTCATTTAAACCAGAAAAGAACAATTACCCATCAACTAATACCCTTAAATTATGGAAAAGGTAGGTTTTCCTTCAACTGATACGCTTAAATCACACATGAAGGGGATCCCCGCCAGTTTAAACCCCTCTCCGG